CATCACTTTGACTTGGGGAGGGTCTGGACCCAACTCTGGAAATGCATCAATGTTGTCTTGCCCTGTTCTTGTGCTGTGATGCTGAGGTATCTTGTTGTTGATGACCCTAAGATAGAGGGCACTTAGCCCTCAAGATTTTTTGGGGTCATTTGTTATGGTTGTTCTTATGCCTCTCTGTTCTTACAATCAGAAAGCTGTTTCTATCCATGTTAATGATTCTGTACAAAAAATTTTGGCTGGCTACGTGTTCATGTATGCAGAGAATCAACTCTCTCTTCTTAAAACCTTTGCCCATATTTGTAGGTGATTATGCCCCATCTCATCAGCTCCTATTTAAGCTTCTGCTGGTTCATTCTTGGCCAAAGTAAAACAGTTCTGGACTCGGTGCTCTGCCCTGAGCTCTTTCTAAATAGTATTGTAGTCCACAGGTTTCTGAATTGAGGTCCCAAGATTTCAGTGAAACTTGTACAACGTGACTTAATATTAGGACAAAACAGTCAATACTTACATAATTTTCTCTTGAGGTGACAGCTTTCCCCTCCTTCCACTCAACTCAGTTTGTCCACATGCACTGAACTTCTGGTTGTGTCATCCACCTTTTCTTGTCCTGATGTGCTGGCAATCCCCTCCTGTCTCTGCACTCTCCAGAAATTTGGCCTGTTAATCAGTCTAATGTTGTGTTCCACATGTGTTCTGCATTCCATCCCCGTCATCTTTTTGCATGTGGTGGTTTTATCTGTTTGTCACTTTGAGACCTTTTAAAAGGTCTCACGTTGGGAATTAAACTCTGTAAGCAATAAAAACTAATCTAATGCATTTTCTCTATGCAGTACAGTTGAAAGTTATTTGGAATGTTTTCAAACAGACAAAAGGCAAATGTTTTTGATGACAGAGGGGTACAAAGCACGTGAGCAGTGCTGCGATTGATGCCTGTCCCAAGGGCATCCTCAATCTGCCTCCTGGCAGAGATGCACAAAATACTCCAGTTTAAGCACAGAAGTGTTGCTTTGGGGATGTGAGTTATCCAAGGAAGAAATGAAAAGAATCTGCAAAGAAGTTTAAGTGGAGTTTCAGGTAGTGCCCAGTAGCCCCAGCATGGCCCTGGTTACTCCAATACTCTTGTTTGTTTTCACAAACCAGCGCCTCGGTTTCGGAGCGGGTGACCGCTGCGAGGAGACCATAACCTCTTGATTTCAAAGGAGCCATCGTTTCTCTGGTGCCTCTGTGGTTAATGTAAGAAAGGTGTCTTGCCATAAACTTTTTCCGAGGTATTCAGCAAGGTTGGGAAGGGGTCGGCCCAGGCAGGAAGCCCTTGTCTGTGCTATAAAGAAAATAGCAAGCAACAAAATGAAAGCATCAAAGGACCAACAGGATGCGGTCCCAGGAGTCCTCTCTGGCATGTTAGTCCTTCTTGAAAGTTAGCATTGAGTGAAGAGTGACCTTAAAACTCCCTTCATTCAAACAGACTGGGCTCAAGTTTAAAGTTCAAGGCATTTTGTTTTTTCACCTGTTTCCTACAGTTTTTAAGAAACTTCTGAAGAATTAATGTGTAACTATATCTGGTCACAGAGCCAATGCAGAGAATTTTTCTCAAGGGAAAATAATGTTACTGTATGGAGTGAGAGAAATGGATACTTTCTGAGTTAGGTTTTATTTTGTTGAAATTTCTTCTCCCAATCCCACTGAGAGCATGATTGCAAACAGCCCTGGAGCCAGTGTAATGCACAGCTCTGAGGCCATGCTTCATTTTTAAAAGAAGCTGGTAGGGTCCTCTAATTGTCTGAATTGTGGTAAAAAAAAAAAAAAAAAAAAAAAAAAAGGTGGTTTTTGCCAAAGCTGCTGCTGCCACTTGGGGAGCAAGGTCTTGTTTTGGGCACAACTTGGGAGCTCTTTGCCTGGTTGCAGCTTCATCTGCGAGTGCAGGGGGAGTGAGCCAGCGACTGGCCCCATGGCCACCCACCCTTCTCTCACCCTGCTGGAGCTGTGAGGTGAGGGTGGATGTGGATACAGTGTCATCATGTGGATCATGTGGATACAGTGTCTTTGAAAAACCAAAGCCCTGACCCAGAGCTCCATTGGTGGGTGAGGGTGGATGTGGATACAGTGCTGCTGCCCTACCAGCACTAATGGTGAGCAGCACCCGGGCTCCTGGCTAGCACCAGTTGTGAGCCACTTTTCACCCAGCACCACCTACCTGTGTGATGCTGAAACAGTTCCTGTATTTTCTGATCTTTGCATCTTGCCTGATGAAGCCACTAGTTACAGATCCCACAAGCAATCTGGCAGGTCATCTTTCACAGTTAAAAGAAATAGTTTGCCAAGATGAAGTACAAATTTCACTCGTGTTTCTCCATGCCATTAAATTTTCATGATTCCGGTATGAATATTTCATGAAAGTACTTTCTGAATGGGTTTGTTTTGTCCTGGCAGCTAATATCCAGTATAAGTCTGGGCAGGTTATGTTTGGTTTTTGGTGGGTTTTCTTTTCCTCTCAGGTGGTTTAGTGAAGGTAAGAAGTGTCAAACTGGATTAAGTGAGAAAAGGCAACTTCTTGTTGGTGATTCAGCAAGGGGGTGCCATCTGTAACTCTTTTCAGCTGCTTAGTGGAAGCAGTGTGAAATGACCCTCAAATACAATTCTGCTCTGTGCTCTCCTGCCACAAGGTGGCTAAAACTCTTTTAAAAGCCCAGGATTTGCGAGTGCTTTAAGTGATGCTAATACATCTACAGCCTTTCTGCAGTGCAACACACGGTACACTGGAGACCAGATTTACTGTGCAGCAAATTGTGTATGTCTTATTTATATGGAGCAGTGATCAAGAAATGTTATTACCAAGTTTATTTCAATCCTTCCTTGGCTGGAGGGCTGGGGTTTGCTTTGTTGTTGGTTTTTTTTTAATAGAAGGAGAAGTGATTTTCTCAGCCCATCCAGTGTGAGTGACAGGCCACTGTGGGGCACAGAAGTGCCACAGGGAGCTGTGGCTGAAACTTCAGCTTCCCACTCCATCTCTGTTTGTACTGCCTGCTGAATCAATCTGCTCAAAGGCTAAATCAGAAACACTTGCCCAAACCTGGGTTAGCAAGTTCCTTTGTTGCTGTTGAATTCTGCACTGGGATGATGGGTGCCTTTCTTTAAGTGGGTGATGTTTCCCAACAGCCAGTTGCTGTGCCATCAGAAACAGGGAAGTTGTTTTCACCAGTTTCAGGAAATGGTGACACTCCTCTCTGTGAACTTTTTGGAAGCTTATCTCCAGCTGTACAGTAGGGACAGGGCTTTTGTTTAATGGAAACGAAGCGTACCTTTTCCTTACAGATGCACCACTCACTATAGAGCTTTTTATGTGCGTTTTAGGTTTCCCTTTTTATTTTTTAACTTATTAACTCTGACAAGTAACCTCTTGGTTGTGAACAATTTAATTCACAATTCATTTTTCTGATTCAAAGTGAACACGAGTGCCCTAATCCCCTAATGGGAATTAATTGCATGTTTCAATGCTTAACTCTGATCCTTTCTCAATCCCCACTGGGACAAGTTTCTTCCTGAAGGATCTGTGTTTGTTATTCAAAACACAATCTGAAAGGTAATGATTTTTCTTATAAAAGAGACTCGGGCCGACTGAATATTAATGCTCTTTTTATTGTGAGGGAACGAGCTGCATCCAAGAAAAAAGCTCATTTATGTAATGAAGGATAAATTACTCTGAAGTATATCTGATAGAATACAGGGAAAAAAATCAGTGTATTCTTATTCCCCTAAGTGAAAGCAGTTTGCCAGTAAATGAAGGCACACACTGTTTTTGCTTGGAAAGCTGTATTTTGATACAGAGAAAAGCTGTTTGCTTCACCAAAGGGGAAATTGCTTGGCTACTGAGGATTTTTAAATGACACTGTTCTTGGCCAGCAACATACCCTTTAGGATAACTGACCAAACCTAACAGTTTACTAAAATAAGAGTAAATTGCAGAAAATAGTTTAAATTTCTACTTCCAGTTTGCTTTTAAATATTTCTCAAACTTGAAATACATTATTTAATAACACTCTTTCCAAGAGGAGCTGCACAGGCTCCTCTGATGTTGGGTGTCTGGCCCAGCCAGTTGACTGTGGATGAGGCAGGCTCTGCCCAGTCAGTGACCACAGGAAAAATGTGGGAAAACATCACAGTGCAAGAGCTGCCTCTACCCTACAGAAATGATGGAGGACAAACACAGCACAGTGTGAAAAAATAATGCAGGAACTATGAAGGTACCTTTTCCCTCCCGTTATGTTTCAGTAAAGCCAGTCTTTTACCCCATTCAAACCAATTTTGAGTGTTTCATGCTCACAGACACAACAAATGGTCATTCAGGGTCTGTTTTCAAGAGGGGGCTCACAGATGTGCAGACCAGCTACTTGAGGTGATTTAACACTTGGGAGTGTCTGTCTGGGGAAGAGAGGAGGATTTACAGCTTTACCTGGTTTCTCTGCCAGCAGCCCTGGCTTCCAGTTTCTCCCTTGGCCCCACAGCTTGCTGTTCAGCATTTGTCTGTCACTCAGCAAGCAGGACCTTGGTGCTGACATTATTGCAAATGCACCAGCACATCCATGAGATGACTCCACACACAAGGTTACACTTGCTTTTGGGGAGTCACTGACCATGACACCACACACTTGCTGCAGCACAGCTCCCATAACGGTGAGAGAGAGAAAAATCAAGAAAGATTTAGAGCTTTTCCTGGGGGTCAGGGATGTGTTGGCTGATGTTTGGGATTCCTTAGAGAATGTCATTTGGTTACAGCAAAGAACTGCAAAAGGCTGATTTTCTCCTCATTTCTGTTTTTCACTGATGCAGTTGTCTGAAAAGTTTCAAGATATTTGAATTGAGTATGATACTTAAATGTGGTACAGGACTACGAGACCACTTTTGCACGTGCCAGAACAGCCTTTTGTGTAGGCAGTGCCTTGGCAGGGCTGTGGCTCTCCAGGGCACTGGCCCTATGGGTAATGAACCTCTTTGTCTTCCAGCTGCTTTTACAAGTACCATGGCCCGTGTCTTCGTCTACGGCACGCTCAAGAAGGGCCAGCCCAACTACAAGCACATGATCAACACGGCCAAAGGCCTGGCGAAATTCCAAGGAAGGGGCCACACAGTGGAGAAGTACCCGCTGGTGATTGCAGGGAAATACAATATTCCTTACATGCTGAACATCCCGGGGACAGGCCACCACATTGCTGGGGAGATTTACTCTGTGGATGAGCAGATGCTGCAGTTCCTGGATGAGTTCGAAGGCTGCCCAGACATGTACCAGCGCACGCTGATGAGGATCCAGGTGGTGGAGTGGGAAGGGAAGGGCGGCGCGGGCGAGGCGCGGGCAGCGGCCGACGGCGTGCTGGAGTGCTTCGTGTACAGCACGGCCACCTTCCCTCCCGAGTGGGTCGGGCTCCCCTACTATGACAGTTACGACTCCTCGGGGAAGCACGGCCTCTCCTACGTCCTACGGGAAAGCCGGGAATAGGGACGGGAGGTGCCGCGGCCTGGCCGCAGCCATAGTGCTAAGCAGGTGTTGCTCGGTAACCTTTCCAGGAAAGCTGTAATGCCTTGTTATTAAAATGCAGGAGCTCTCATAACCTTCCCAACCCAGGAGCCTTGGCGCTAGTGTTGAAGTCCTGTAGGCCCAGAGCTGCAGACTCCTCCCCAGGCAGGCAGTGTCGTCCTGGCCCCCCCAGCCTGCTGCAGGTAACTGGGTTTGCACCAGGTGTAAAATAACTCTATGTGCACATCAGGTCTGGGGTCTAACTATTCCCTCAACTTCCCCCTTTGCCTTGGTGCATAATAATGGAGGTCAGTGAAAGGCAGAGGAACGGATTCAATTTTTTTTCCCTGAATTGACAAAATTTGAAACTGATTTAAATGTCTGCAAAGTAAAGCACAACTCCTATTGAATATTGACTTGTAATGGGTTTAGTGGGCTACTGCATGTAAACAGGGAAAGCTAATCAGATAACTTGGTGCTTCTAGACAAATAGGAAATTGCTGGAGAAAATGTAAAGATTATTCTTAAAGATTATTCATTGCAATGGGTTTTTTTCTGAACTGGAAAGGTGTATTTTTAAACCATGTTTAGTTTTAAAAGGCACTGTCAAGAAATATTGAGAGAATAGAAGAGAATTACATTTAAAACTGTATTTTTAATTTTATATTCTAAGCACTTTGGGTTCTGCCTCTGTTCACTGCGTGACTGTAGGATTTGGGGGTGTGTGTGTCTGTGTGCCTGTGTCTGTATGTGTGTGTGTGTGTGTGTGTGTCTGTTTTGGGGGCTGTTAGGGACCAGAAAAAGCAAATCTACACTGGAGCCACCGTGAGCACTTACTGTCAAGGTGACTTTTTGCCAAGCATTTTAATACAGAACTTCCAACCATATGCAAACTGAGTTTCCTAAGGGGGGGGGGGGGAATTGTATATGCATTATAAAAATATCCAAAGGACTTGTATTGTGATTATTGCAACATTTAAATTGGGAAAAATATATGTAAAGAAGACTGTTGTCCCCCTGACCCAAGCAATTGTGCTGGTTTCTGTACATTCTGGAAAAATCATGGCTTTCTGTTGTTACACTCCTGTGCCTTATATTTTTCTTCAGCTGCAGTGTTTGGTACAGATAGATTGTAAAGCTGCCAGAGGGAGGGGAGCAGGCATTGTATGCCATGCAGTGAGCCAAAGTACCATCAAATGCAGCAAGGATACAATTGAGAACAATATTGTACTTTTGCTTCACTGCCAGTAGCCCTGTGAGGGCCAGAGGAGATCCGGGGTAGGGAATCAGCCTAAACTTTAGCAGTAGTAGGCACTGCTGCATCTCATTTAGAAAAGCTTCCATGTTGCTGCAATAAGCAAAACAAGTAACTTGCTGGTAGAATACTTGTGTCTCTTTACAGTACTTGTCTCTTTAGGGCAACCTGCAGAGACTGAACTGTGCTCCTTTGGAAAGGGGTAAGATGGCAGTAAGGAAACTTGGAAGGAGATCTGCAGGGTGCCTGCCTCAGTTTCTCCAACTGCAAAAGCATTAATTTTCCTGAAAGGCAGGTATTATCCAAACACTCTCCTTCCTCATCTTGATGAGTTTTATAAACTAATTCTCTAAGCAGATCCCTGGACTACATATTCCCCCTCAGCCATGTGATGTAGTTAATTAGCAGTGTCTCAATAACAGGAAGAATGCCTCTTCAGTCAGAAGTTCCAAGCAGAATCAAACTTTCCTGGTTGAACATGAGTCACCAGCCCTGTCACCAACTGTTTTCATCCTTCACCTTCTAGTAAAGGGCCAAGGCACCTCTGGCCAAAGGGTTTCTTTCTGGGAAGTAGCAGGACTCTGCACATCCTGGGCAAGAAAATGAGAGCAGGGCTGCTCCACTCTGGGGCAGTGGTCAAGGTCCCTTTGTCTCCCTTTCCTGTAAGCATTCAGGAGGAGGCCTGGTCTGAGGGACAGCACGTGCTCTTAGCAGTACCTTGGGGCAGCTAAAGACCTCTGAGAACAGTGCCAGCTCCTGTAAAGGCATCCAGTAATCAGTATCAAGAAGATAGGGGTGGGGAAATTGAGTATGGAGTTTGAAGATAAGAAGACAATTCCCTTACAATTTTAAATGAAAATACATGACAAATATCTGCACTAGCAAAATAAAGCCTCTAAGCTGTAATTTAAATCTAATCTATGCAAAGCAGTAAAAATATAATAATATAGAAGTATTTAAAATATAAGTAATTATATAATAATTTATTATTAGTTAATAAGTAATAATTCAATAAATATATATCCCAATTCAAAATAAATCTGATCAGAATTTAAGCCATTGGTGGTACTTGTGCAGCCCTTATACAGAGTAAAGGAGAACTGCTCAGTTTGCTCAGTGGTTAATTTTTCATTCTTGCCAGCCATTCTGTACAGCCTGGCTGGGGCCTCAAACCAGAGACATTGCTGTGGAGAAGACAAATCAGATTTTGGCTTTTGTTGTGTTTTCTTTTTTTAAAAAAAAGAGGCTTTTCCTGTTTCAAAGCAGAAATGGTATTTTATTGATTTTATTTGATCCTGAAAAATCAAAGCATTACAAAGGTTATGTACAAGTATTTCTGGAAGTAAAAATCTGGGATCTGTTGCCAAGATTTAACATCTGTGTTTGCTGTCTTAACCACTGATACAGTAAATATGCCTGTATAAAGTCTTGTGCATAGTACTGTCTGTTTTCTGTGTTGAATTGTCTTAATGTTACTTTACAGATAAAAATAATAAAGGCTTAGTTAATTCAACAGTGTGGAGGCAACCTTTCATTCCAGTTCCACCAGCAGATCTTCTTCTCCCACGGTGTCCCCAGCTTTGCAGTGCACAGCTTTTACCTAGGGTACAGAAACAGCAGAATGTAAACCCTTCCTCAATAGCCTGGTGAGATAAATGGCTTGGCTGATGTGGTTTGTATTGCACAGAGCACTCTGTCTGCATGCACAGGGTGGTGGCCACTGTGCAGCCTGAGGACACCCCAGGGACACAGATCCACCTGTGCTGCCAGGGCCTCAAGGTGTTGAGCGCTCGACCTCCAGTGCTCAGAGCCCAGCTGAGTTTTGAGGACCAGTGCTTGATAAATGGTGTCCAACCCCCATCATGGTATTCAGACACCTACCACTAGGTTTGCTTGCAACAGAGGTGCTTGAAGACCTGAACATCAGCTAGAGATGCCACTTTTTAAAATGAAAATGCACCTTTTTTCACCTGGTTGCATTGCTGTTTATTTATTTTAAATAGAGGACAGGCTGATTCTTCAATACTCATGTTGGGATGTTGCAATGAAATATTCCACCATTTCTTTAATTACAGTTTTCAAAGATAGCAGAATCTTGGAACTGCAGCCGTGAAGTGGGTTTGGTTTCTCTCTATCTCCAGAGAGTTGGGATAGATGATTCAAATCTGAATTGGGATCCTTTAACATAACTGAACTTGGCAAAGGGCTATCACTGTCAAAATAAGTGCAACTATATCTGTAGATGAATATGCCATGCATATTCCTGAATTTTAAAACACAAATATCTTACACTAGTCCCTCACTTCCGCTATAAAAGGCTGCAACATGTTTGAATTCCCTTTCAGCACATGAAGCAATAGAAAATATTTGAAGCTTGTTTCAAGTACTGAGCTTGTTTCCAGTATTAATTCAGAGCTCGCACTGACATGCCCAAATCCTTGTTCAGCAGATAGCTCATTTTAATCACCCAAACACTACCCTGGGCTCCTGAAGGAAATGCACACCATAGCCCAAGTACCAGGCCATGATGAACACATGTTGCCCACATCCATGTTTGACAGTCTGAGGCCACAAGAGCTGTGAGCAGATCTCTGTAGCACAGGCACACTCACAGCACTGCTCCAGAAATGATGCTGAGCACGGGCAAAGACAGCGTGACACGTACAAACAGGGGCTTTATTTCTAAATCAGTAGCTGGGCAGCGTACCCAATTGCTGAGCCTCAATCTTCTAGGAGATGAAAGCAGTGTGAAAAACATTCTACCCCTTGCTTTTCTTTTTCTACAAAGCCAAGGTTCAGCAAACATCAGAGTTAACCAGTGTTTCGAACTCCCCAGCAATTTCTGCCGTGCAGTGGGGCCGGCTCCCTGTGCTGACCCAGGCGCAGCTGTCCTGGAGAAGACAGGAGGCTCGCCAGCTCATCTCCAGCTTTCCCTCATTTTTAAGCCACCTGTAGCTGGAGTAAACTCAAAGTAGATAAAAACAAGCCACCTTTCTCACAATTCCAAACAGGAAGATGGGGTTTGATACAGAAAAGGAATTCAAGTCAGGAATGAAAATGGGAACGTCTTCCAGCTGAAGACAAATGAACTGAGTTTCAAAACACGGTTTCAAAGCATCAAAACATGGACTAACAGCCTGTGCCAAACATCCCATTCCTGTGGAGAGGCCAAGTTATTTTAGCACTCAGAGCCATGACTTTGCACTGCAGTACAGGATGAATTCTGTTTAGCAGCTTCATTTCTACACAACCCAAAACCTTTGTGCTTATTCAAATTCTTAACATTTTAAAGGTCAAATAATGCACTTGCTATTAAAATGGGTGCACCAAGGGGACATTGCAAGGCACACAGGAGGCCTCCTGAATGGCCTGAGCACCTTTCACATCCTACCTTGGAGGATTAATAAACCAAACAGGTTTTATGTGGCATCTGTACTGAGTGAGTTGGAAATATTTATTATTAGGAGAAGTACAAGCAGGATGGTAAGGAACAGACCCATGGAGTGCAGAACACCTTGGTGGAAAAGGGAAGGTTAAAGTGAAAAATAAATGGGGTGGGTGGGAGAGGGAATGGCATTTTAATTACAAGTTAAAATCAGTGGATGCAAAGAGCAGCAGTAAGGGGGTTAATAACAGCAGATGAAAAACTAAATGCTTGGAAATATTAATCAAGTAAGAAAATAAATTATGTAGAAATTAATGCATGAAATAAAATAATAAAGTGGCAATGTTAGAGCAAAAGGAACGGAAACATACTCCTTCCCTCAGTATTTTTTTCTCTTGAGACCCAATTTTGCACTGGATGCACTGGAAGAGGCAAGTCTGGGACCCAGCCTGGGTGACAATTTTAGAGCTGTGCCAAAAAAGCCTTTCTTGTAAACACACAAACAGTCCTTGGCATTGAGAGCCATCCTGAGATCTCAGCGAACCTTGCCAGTGGCAAACCCCGTCCCTGCCTGCAGTCAGGCTCCCTGCTGCCTCCGTGTGGGCTGAGGGCTCCTGCCCTGGGGTTTGTGCCTCAGAGAGAGCAGAGGGGCTTCACCCCAGGAGAGATGGGCTTGGGCAGGTTAGGAAATAGCAATGGAGGAGAATATGTGACACAGATCCACACTGTGCTCTCCCATTGGAAAGGATGGATCTGGGGCCCACATCTTGGTGATGGTTTCAGGCTGTGAATTATAATCTAGCACAGGGATGCTCTGAAGTCCCAACTTAAGGTCTGGCAGTCCTCAGACCAACTCAGGTTTAGGGCATGCTCTTGTTACAACTAGTTCCCTGCCCAGAGTGCTGGTTTTAGCACGTCCTACACTGCAACAAGTCCCAGCTCCAGTGCTGCAGTGCTGATCCCTCAGGAGCAGGATAGGCTAATGCATAGCCTTGCAAAGCTTAACAAATGGGCAGATGCAGGCTTGATACTTAACAGTCACAATAATAAAATAAAATTGCTGTTTTCTCCCGCCTGCAAAAGCACTTTCTATGTCTTGTTCTGGGTGGGTTTTTTAAATGACAAATTATTTGCCATTAAATAATTAACTGGCAAAGAGATCTCTCTTTTTTTTCCGGAAAGATGAAATTTGGAGAAATGGTCTGCAACACCTTTCAATTCAACTTGGCATTGTAACATCACAGAAAACAAATCATTTAGGAGAAAGAGCTATATGAATTTCCAAAGCCAGTAAAACTATTTCCTGCTGTGCTATCTAAGGCTCGGAACTACTTAACAGCATTCACAGCAGATGCAAATGTTACAAAATTAAAGACACCTCACTTTGAAAGACTTACAACAATCAGACTTAATTCCTTAACAACCAGAATCCTCCTTTTTTCCTTTTAAAATTCTATCCTGTTGACAAGTTGCATATGGTTTTAAGTGACCTAAGGTGGCTTACCTTGCCTGTTTTAGCAGCAATCATACTGTTCTGCATTTTCATTGCTTCAATTACACAAATCTCTTGACCTTCCGAAACCTGATGAAATTCAAGCAGTACAAAATCAGAATAGAGGATTCAAAATGTTCTAAGTGTGATGATTCTTATGGAAAATAAAAGGATTATTTCATTAAATGCTATAAAGAATTTCATGACACAAGTCAAGTCAGCCAGTTACACAGTCACAACACAAATGACAATCACAAAATTGGCAGCAAAATAAGGGGGGGGGAAAAATCAGCTGCTTAAAACTATTACCCCAGGCAAACCTGAAAGGCTCCTCTCCCATCCCATCCATTCAGCTCCAGATTCCACAGTTCACACCACCACAGTTCAACATCAATTAAATGCAGAGCAAAATCTAATTTGTGCATTTTTGGCCAGGGAACTTCTGCTTTGCTTCCCTGGTGCAAGGCCCACAGATACTCATACTGATTCAGAAGCCAAATTCCTTGGCAGGTGTCCGGGGCAGCTTGGGCTGGAAGGTCCAGCAGTACCCAGTGGGCTGATGCTGAGGAGAATGTGTCACCTCTGCACATGGCAGCCTCTGATGGTGGCTGATGACTTTGGACTGACAGAAAGCAGCTCATCAGTGAGGAGCCACCAGCTCTCATCCACAGGGGAGGCACAGTGGAGACAAACTCATCACTTTCACCACAGCTCAGACCTCTTTATAGAAAACACTGAGGTTTCCTCTTTCTGTTTGTGTCCTGCTAGCAGGCATGTGCAAGCTCAAGGTCACCAGGAACCCACTGGGCTGCTCTGCTGGGCTCCCTGTGCCTCCCAGTCAGATCCTCCCCCCAGTGGATCACTTAGACCACCTTGCACAGAGGAAACTGCTGCTCAAGGCTTGACAGTGGCTGTGGAGGCTGCCTAAACACGAGAGGCAAACAAGGGATTTGGAATTTACCCAGTGCAACCCAGGGATCAGCTGGTCATTCCCCAAAGACAATGCGTGCCAGGGAGGAAGGGTGCCAGGACCTACGTGCCAGGATTTAGGACCTGTACACTCCTATGGGATGCCTGGTTCCAAGTGCCCACTGCAAGTCTTTTCATTGGACTCTTTTGCAGATGGAGTTTGCTATTCCCTCATTAGCTCAGCAAGTTTGGGAGGCTTTCACTCTGATGTCCAAGTTTCATGAAACAGGGTAATCTGAAACCTGCAGAAATCTGGTTTATGCACTGTTATATGTGCCAGTGCCAACAAAATGTTTGTTTATATACACACATATATACACATAGATATATTTCTCTAATTATATGTAAAATGAATAATACATATTTAAGAACAAGTGTGTGCCACTTTGGAGGAATATACTTACAGACAGATGTGAAGTCAGAGATCAAATGTACATTGAATGAAGAACTTTCCAAAACTTTAAGGAAACCTATTTTTTCACTAACTCACTAAAAAGCACTGCTATCTGCCTATGGATTCTGAGCAAAACAAAACAAAACAAAACAAAAACAATTCGATTAAAAGGCGCTTTCACACCCTTTCTCCAAAAGATTGGCATCAACAGTATGAGAGGTTTTGGAGGGTAAATATGGAAAGCATTTGCTATGGGAATATGGTGTACTAACTGGATACAGAGAATAACCAAAACCCAACACTTACCCTGCAGAAATTCCATCCTGAGCTTCAGGCAAGCAGTTAAATCATTAGCAGGTGTCCAATTTGGTGAATAGAATCAAAGACTTGTGATTTCCCCTCTATTCCCTTTCCCTGTCTTTTGTCTCCTTCCTTCCACACCTGCTGCTCTGCCTGTACCTTGTCCCAGCAGCTCACTCCTCCTTTCCTTTCTTCTTCTCCTCTCCTTTTCCCTACCTCATTACTTTTCTTCCATCTGCTCTGAACTTTGCAAACATTTCTGAGGTTATGAGGAACCAATGAATATCTACTTTGGATTCAAAGAGAAGGAAAAAAAAGAGGCAAGAAAGTTTGTTGGAAGAGGGTTTTTTTAATAATGCTGTTATTAAAATAAGCATTTCAGAAACAACTTTGCCACCCTCTGGTTAAGCTCTGCTATCAGAGAGCCAAGAACACAGGCCTCTAGAGGTTGCTGAAGATTGAGATGCTAAGGACAACAGGTCTAAATTCAGTGGCCTGATTACAAGGCCACGAAACTCTCTCCTTGAGCAGTTACATTTAACTGTGACATGGCTTCATCAGGAGGATGGTGTGCAAATGAACCACTCAGCAGTTATCTAAAGAGAGTTCTGGAAACACATCTATGGGAAAAGTAGAGAATTGTCTCCGTAGATCGAGAGTGTGGTGCTAAAACGGCAGGAAGTGTTAGTGATTGCGGGATGGAAATGTCCCTTAATCTGAATTTCTTCTCAGTTTCCCCTCTTTCCCAAAAATAAAGTTTTTGTTTTGTTTGTTTGTTTTATATAATGCATGCTGGGGCTGATGACAAAGGACAGTGTCTGGGAAGGAAATAACCCCCTCAACTCACAAAAGTTGGTCCAAGTATCCAGTTAACATCTAGTCCTACTAATTTGAAAGGAAGGAGGCACTTTCAGCAGGTACCACATGTGAAAATGCTGTGGCAATACTTCTGATGATGTGCAATTTGTTGAAAATTATCTTGGTGCAAGTGTCACTTAAGCACAGAAGTTTAATTACTGTTCTTATGTTAAACCTTTACAGCTCCACTCATTGTGTTGAAAAGCGACAAATCCTAAAATTAGGCACTTGTATCTCTCTTTCCTCTTTTTCAGTCTTTTGGGCATTGTCCAATTTCTTTCATTCTATAATTGCACATTTCATTTTGCCTGCTATTTAGCCTGCAAATGAAAACTGCAGAGATGTGTACAAGTTCTTGCCATCTAACTTATTTAAGGATTTATCTGGACCATTTTTAATGCTGTATTTTCATTCTATAATTTATTTCTTTCAGTGGATGGTAAACCAGTGAAAACCACCATCTTTACATTTCCATTTAGAGAGGTCTCAGTGATGACCCAAATCTGTCAAAACAGGCAACTAAAATCAAACAAAAAAAATCTCATTTCTTTGAACCAAGTAAAGTTAAAAGGGCTCCTTTTCTTAAAAAAAATTAATCGCAGGTATCTTTTCCACAGAGTTACACCACAGACAAATCGACCTTTACATTGCTTGGTATATCAAAATAAATGAGTGATTAACTGCTAGACCTGCAGTCTGCGTTTTAGCAGTTTATTGCTGCATGGTGCAGTTCAAAGAGTGAAAAGTGAGAAAGAAACAGAAAAGAGAAAGAAAATAAAAAGAAGAAAAAAGATCCTTGAAGAGGACGGTACTTAACATCTCGATGCTAATAACAATTGCAGTGTGGATTTGGGACCAGTCAATGGTGCTGTTTGAGTCACTCAGGGACTGCATGGTGGTTGTTCCCTCCGCTGGCCAAAAGGTTACACAGGACAGGGAAGTGTCTCCGGTCATTTCCCAACCAAGCAACTCCCGCCACAGGGTGGAAGCGGAATGTGGGAAGCAGCAAGGCCGACCTGCTCCCGTTGCACCTACGTGAGGAGCACAAAGACCATCCCCACTCAGAGCCAGGGCTCTCTGGAGCTCAGGAGCCCGAGAAGACGGCGCAGAGCCGAGGGCATGGCTAGCACGGGATCTCTGTGAATATGGTGCACTTTCTGCGGACTTTGGTGCGTCACAGCATAAAGACTTAATGATTGTGACAGGACGTCTCCCATGTTAGGCTTACAAAATGGTCACAAGCCCCTCAAGTCTTTCTGATAAACCCAATGGGCGCTGATGCATTTCCCCGCTCTCTGTCTAATTGGTGTAAAGTTTGCAGACCTGAATCACGGATCTTTTATCCAGCTTGCTGCGTCCTCTCCTTTGACACGAGGTCAGGGTTCACATTCGCATCCGATTATCGGAGTGGCACTCATTAACCGGCAGCCTGCCTCGCACCAAAATGAGCTCCCTGGAAGGGGAACTCGGCCCATTTACTCAGCAGATTTCAGCATTTTAAGGAGGCCTGAATGTCACACAGTATTGCTACGTTTTGAGGAGTTTCAGACATCTCCAGCTGATGATTAATTGTGAGTGATGGGAAATAAAATCCAGTAAAGCCAGCTGCTTGCCATGGTCGGCAAAATTACTATAATGGATATAGGCTGCCAATTTTCCAGTTTTACTGGCAAGTCTTCCAAGTGTAATTAAGGGAAGTTATAAATGATATGGAAATCTATCAAGTCCCATTTATTTTCAGAGGACTCTTTCCCCTGAGACTTTTATCTTCAAGCTTATAGTTTGCTTTGTTGTGCTAATGATTTAAACCACTTCTTATTTCTGATTAAAGCCCCCAATATCCTTCACAAGAAGTTAGATCCACTTTATCCAGAAGGACTTAAAGAAACAGAAGCCTTTTTAAAGTTGTGTTTATAAGCCATGCTGAGCTCCCACTTCCTCTTTGGAGGCATAACAGAGCATCCTCCATCTTAGGCACCTCACTACCATCTGGATTTCCGCTTCTGACAAACTCAGGGGACTGGGAAAGATTTGGTGGGGGAAAAAGGAGAGAAAAGACTTTATTTATTAAAAAAATAAAATTAAAAAAACCCAACAACAACAAAACCCCAACTTGCCTCCCAATCCTAAATCCTCCAAAAACAAAGATTGTAGGTGCTGCTTAGACACCAGGCATTTAGCACAGAGTGGTGTTGCTCACTAATGTTGTTTGATTTGGAATAAAAGCATGAAAATGATGTGCAAAGGCCTAAAATTGGAGATGTAAAGGATGACTGCACAGTATTCCATTTCTCAATTTCATCCTTCAGAGCCACAAAATGGGGGTGATACAGTTACTGGATGAGATTTACAGTAACAGCTGTGGTCTTCCCACACAAGGGAGGACCTTCTAATGGGCTAAGGTCTGTTTTGAACAGACGGGGAGTAGCAAAACAAGGTTCCCTATTAAGGGTGTGCAGTAATATTCCTGATAAAGAAAATGAGTAGTGGTAGTCAGATTGCTTTAAAAGACCTAAATCTCTTTTCACTGTTAAAAAAAATACTAAAGCTATTTTAGAAAGTGCTAACT